GAATGAAATCGGTATAACGATAGAAATGGAAAGGGGAAAAAACAGATTCACAAATTCAACTCAGAAAATGTGAACTTTATCAACACAAAGTATAGCTTTATTTATGTCAGAGCTGGAAAACTTACATGCTAATTGTTTGTCCTCTTTCAGATCATCAGTTGCAGGTGCTATAAAAGAATTGGCTAATGCATCATCAAGAATTAGAGTCCAAGCTTCTTCTAAGCTAAGAAGCTGCATACAATGAAAGGATGGAGATAAAAAAAATTGGGATTAAGACCTAGAACCAATAAATTTAATTCGGTTAGGTAAAATTCAAGCCTTCAAATTCAAAGATAGGACCACAGGTCTTTGTTGCTCAGAATGGGACCCATCTTGTAGAATACATTTGGTTAAAATTTAATAGACCCTTTTCTCTTTGTTGTCCATTTCTTTTTATGATAAAATTTATCAAACTGAAGTGTCAAAACAGGAACAAAACAGGACAATGTCTCCTGAACCAATGCCAAATGTTTGCAAGCTTCCTTCTTTTCCCAATTGGCCACAAAACATGGTGCAAAAATAAATATAAAAAATTGAAATAATAACTGATAAATAGTCATGTGTTACCTTGTTTAGTCTTGTTTTAAAGTCTATCCACTTGCTTCTACTATTTTCATCAAGACTATCTCCAAAAGTAAAGCCATGGACCCTCTCAAGGCCTGAACAAGCAAATCCCATAAAATTAAATTCTACATTGATACATTCTAGAAAAAATAAATAGATAATAGGGATAAATATGTTTGTAATCTCTAAAGTTGGACACTTGGAATTCGTCCATATCCCAAATTTCAAACTTTAAAAATGAATAAATGTAGTCATTTTAATCTAATGATATTAAAAAGAATTAGTGTCAAACGAAAGGCATTCCAATCTGGCATTTGAGACAGAAAATGTTAAATAATGTAAATAATTCAAACGCTATTTACCACATGTTCTATTTAACACGTTAAAACGTAGGTATGTTAGAAAGACTATATCTATTCAATTTTAAAGTTTGAAGACCAAATTGTATCCAAGTTTGGCACAACGAAGAATTCCAATTTTGCATCAAAGTTTAAGGATATTTACTCTTAGATTATATTAAAAACTAAATCACACGACAGGATCAAGAACATCATAAACATGATAAAAGATAACCGTTTAAACTCCACCCTTCCAAAACAAATACAAATTTGGCATTTAGACGACTTTCAAAACATATTTGAGATAGATTTTGGAATGAAAGAAACATATAATGACGATAAATTGGTTGAAAAATGAAAGATCTATTGAAAAGAAAAATGTTTTCATCATTTTGTTACAATTGAAGCTAAACAAAGTGTATGGGTACTATGATGTCCTTTCCTTTCACAAAGATGACTCCTAATCCTTCTTCTATCTCATTAGGATGCTGCCTAGATTATAGTTTATGTGATTGATAGAAAGGATACTTACTTTCACCAATTCTTGTGATTAAACCTTCAACAGTTGTAACTATTCCTCCAAGGGTTCCGCTTGCCAGCTCCAAGTCAACTTCCGGAACTTTTACACTTGCAGTATCAGACTAATCAAACCAAACTACTCAGTCATGACATTTTTGACAGGTTATCTTTACAAGCAAGACTGTACGTGTATCATTACAACTTTTGACATATCATTGAAAACAGAACATGTTCATGTTAACACTTCTAAGTTATCTTTTGATGAATCATTTCAGCTTTCTGATAACCCCGAAATGCAAATTTAATTCCTTAAAATGCTATAGATGTCAAAATACATTGAAGAATAAAGCAAAATTTTAAAGTGGCACTGAAAGAGCTCTCATGATTAGTTTCTATACTTGGTTACTTTACACTTTCAGCAAAACAAGTTTGGAAGCTTACATTTTTCCCCACATTTGAAGGCTATATAACCTCAATAACCAAAACACAAAGTACCTTCTTTTATTTAATGAAATTTCTTTTACTGATCCCAATTTGCAGTAATTGCATACTAGAAATAAGAAAATTACATGCTCCCTAAATGCAAGGATAAACTACAAGATCCATCATTCATCCCTTAACATATAAATAAGAAACTAATGGGTTCAGATTAGTTAAGATCACGAAAAGAATTACAGACCTTTATTACATCACGGCTAAGGTCATTGATATTCTTCACAGAAAGAGTAATTTTTTTCCCCTTTTCAGGAATTCGTCCACCAGGTTTCAACTGCAAGGTGAAAATTAATTATAATCCAGCCCTAAAAAGACAGTCACACTCAAGAAATCAGAATACCTCAGAGTTGCGGTAGCCACAGACATCACATGTGGATGCCATAACAATTACTTCTTGAAAGTAAGGAATATCTGTCCATTGTTAAGCTCAACAGTGTGGAAGAAATACCAAGAATTGTTCATGCAACAATATAAAATATAAAATTGGGATGTGGCATTGACACTGCTATCAAGAAAGTAAATAAATATTATCTAGTTTTTACCTGATCAGCAATTGGAGTACATGTCAACATTGTAGACAGATGTTTCATTTTGAAATTAATTTTGAGAAGATTAAATCCATAGTCAAGTTTCTGAAATTTGAAAGTAGATCATTTTCATGATTTTTAATTGAACACATGGTTATCCGAAAAATATTCAGTCCCAAATCGATGATGCTAAGCTTCCAGTTTCAACTTAAAACGTGAAACATAGAATCAAAACAGAATTTAAAATAACGAAAAGCCATCCCCTATAGTTTATACAATTACAGTTTACTGCAGACCAAAATAGTGAGTAAAGCTCCAAATTTCAACTGGAATACAAACATGGAATCAAAGAAAAATAAGTCCCAATAGTTTATATAATTTTATTTTACCCCACAAAGTTATGTACTCTTGCATACACAAAATATAAATCCTCTTTAACCCAATAAATTTTAATTATCGAGTTTAAAATGACAGAATCCTTCTAAAGAAATGTAACATAATCAAACAATACCCCAAGGAAAGTATTGAAAATGCTGCTAAGAGGATACTGGTGACAAACATTCGAGTCTCACACTTGGCAGCACAGGCACCACAAGTAGATGGGAAAGTCATCACCTGTCAAGAAAAATCAGAAATCTGACACCGAGTGAACAAACAAATAAGGGCAAAGCTCAGTACACATAACTATACTTCAGCAATTGTACCTCTTCTGGTGCCGTATATCGAAACAAGGCTTCAGCCATTTCTGCACTGTTACTCTGAGCAATGGCTCGATGCCCAGCTGTCGCCCCTATTGATCCATGTGGTTCTGTCCTTACTTGATCAGTAGGCACACCTTCTCCCCCTTCAAGGGGGTCAACACGAGTTCCTTCAATCTGTGTGGAATCAACAAGGTATCCCAATGATGCTTGCTGCTCAGGAGTTCTCTCATAAAACTTGATCGTCAGTGATGGATCAGATGATGGTGCAAACCTATTCAATGTGTTCTCCATTTACTTAAAATAGTACCAGATAGTGGACTAATATTACCAAGTACCAAATGCCAGCACAAGTTTGCCTAACCAACAAATATATGTTTGTCTTGACCAATTTCAAATAAGTTAAAAGATACAGTATGGTATGATTCAGAAAGGCATGCATCTAATCCAAAGTCACGCACAAGCACAATGTGACTAAATTTGAGCCTATACAGAGGTCAACACAATTTACAAACTAAACCACACTCATCTCTTGAACAAAAAATCCACAAGGCTACTCCCTATATGTTATCACTGAATCCCTTGTGTCATTTACTTGTATGTGAAGAATACCTTTATAATCTCTTCTGATAGGCCTGAAAGGAATAGGTGTACGAGAGAAGAAAGAAGACTAACTAACTGGCTGTTAGCTTTTAACGGCTTACAGCAGTTAAGGAGAGGCGGGAGAGGTAGTTATAAATAGAGGTTTAGTTAATGGGGAAGGGACTTTTGGTGATTGGACTTTTGGTGATTGGATTCTAAAACAGGTATTGACCTGGGGAGAGGGTTAAGCCTCTATCCTTCTTGCTGTACAAACATTCTTTTGTCAATAATACCCTTTTTCCTTCATACCTTGTGTTGTTTTGTGTCAAGAAGCTAGTTCTTGATTAGGTTCCTAGTCCGGAACCTATCAATTGGTCCGACCTGCCGGATCTTCAATAGGAAGGGTGACGTACGCACGGGATGGAGGGCAGAGTGTTGGCGTTAGAGGGTCAAATGGAGGCGGTAGAGATTACGTTGGCTGAGATGAAGGCGGATACGGTCTTTTTGCGACATGAGACTGGAGCATTGAGGCAGAACTATGAGGCAATGCGCCAAGACGTCCGAGCGATTCTGAAATTGTTGGGAGATCGCAAACAAGACCCACACGGGCAGCGCCGGGAGGGTAGTGAATCCTCCGTAAATGATAACGACGGCAGGCCGGAAAGGGAAAGTGGAAGACGGGAATAGGGCATCAGGACGGCCTGACGAATTGGCGAAAATGGGTGGACCTACCCGTGTTCGAAGGAGGCGAACCCTGGAACTGGATTAGTAGGGCGGAAAATTTTTTTGAGGTGTAGAAGGTAGATGATGAGGAGAAATTGCAACTAGTTTTCATTAGAATGGAGGGATATGCGGGAAATTGGTTTAGGTTTTGGAGGGAGAAAACCAAGAACTATTCTTGGGAAGGATTGAAGAGAGCCCTAGGAATTAGATTCAGAGGAGGGACGAGGGGAACCGTTTACGAGAAATTGTCGACCATCAAGCAGGTCGGGACGGTGGAGGATTATGTCAGGGAGTTCGATACGCTGGTGGGACAGACGTCCAAGATTCCAAAGGAGCAGATTCTGGGTTACTTCATGGCAGGACTTCAGGCCGCACGACCCACCAGACCTGATGACGGTTATGCGAAAGCGCAACATGTGGAGAGATTTATAGTCTCGAGAATGGGAGGAGGATCGGCGTCCAAGAATCAAGGTACGTGGGGACGATCGGCGGGGTCTGCTACGCGAGTCGAAACCCATCGAGACACGCCAAATAAAGGGGGGATCGCCAAAAGTGTAGGGTCCGTGAGGAGAGAAGCAACCCAAGGGGGCAGCAAAGCAAGGACGATCGGTGACAGGAGGGAGAGGAACACTCACAACTTGCCGTATTCGGAGTACGTGAAAAGGAGGGAGGAAGGGAGATGTTTTTTATGCGGCAGGCCTTTCAGCCTCAGCCATCGTTGCCCGAAACGGGGATTGCAGATGTTGATCATGGCCGAAGAGGAGGAGGAAGTTGGAGAAGAAGTGGAACCTGAACTAAACCTCGTCGAAATGGAGTTGTCGGCACTATCGACGGGGGGCTATCTTCTCCCAAGACGATGAAATTAAGGGGCCGAATAGACTGGTGAGAGGTGTTGGTTCTTATCGATAGTGGCGCTAGCCACAACTTCATCAGTCGAAGGGTGGCGGAGGAATTGGAGTTGACGGTAGTGGACACCCATCCTTATCTGGTGAGCTTAGGCGACGGACAAAGGAAGACGATCAGTGGGTGCTGTGAGCAGATGGCATTGAAGATGGGGAATGCAGAAATTGTTGAACGGTTCTATTTGTTCGAGCTAAGAGGAGTGGAGTTGATTCTCAGTGTTGAATGGTTTGGAGAACATGGAAAGGTGACCGTTGANCCTTTCACAAAGATGACTCCTAATCCTTCTTCTATCTCATTAGGATGCTGCCTAGATTATAGTTTATGTGATTGATAGAAAGGATACTTACTTTCACCAATTCTTGTGATTAAACCTTCAACAGTTGTAACTATTCCTCCAAGGGTTCCGCTTGCCAGCTCCAAGTCAACTTCCGGAACTTTTACACTTGCAGTATCAGACTAATCAAACCAAACTACTCAGTCATGACATTTTTGACAGGTTATCTTTACAAGCAAGACTGTACGTGTATCATTACAACTTTTGACATATCATTGAAAACAGAACATGTTCATGTTAACACTTCTAAGTTATCTTTTGATGAATCATTTCAGCTTTCTGATAACCCCAAAATGCAAATTTAATTCCTTAAAATGCTATAGATGTCAAAATACATTGAAGAATAAAGCAAAATTTTAAAGTGGCACTGAAAGAGCTCTCATGATTAGTTTCTATACTTGGTTACTTTACACTTTCAGCAAAACAAGTTTGGAAGCTTACATTTTTCCCCACATTTGAAGGCTATATAACCTCAATAACCAAAACACAAAGTACCTTCTTTTATTTAATGAAATTTCTTTTACTGATCCCAATTTGCAGTAATTGCATACTAGAAATAAGAAAATTACATGCTCCCTAAATGCAAGGATAAACTACAAGATCCATCATTCATCCCTTAACATATAAATAAGAAACTAATGGGTTCAGATTAGTTAAGATCACGAAAAGAATTACAGACCTTTATTACATCACGGCTAAGGTCATTGATATTCTTCACAGAAAGAGTAATTTTTTTCCCCTTTTCAGGAATTCGTCCACCAGGTTTCAACTGCAAGGTGAAAATTAATTATAATCCAGCCCTAAAAAGACAGTCACACTCAAGAAATCAGAATACCTCAGAGTTGCGGTAGCCACAGACATCACATGTGGATGCCATAACAATTACTTCTTGAAAGTAAGGAATATCTGTCCATTGTTAAGCTCAACAGTGTGGAAGAAATACCAAGAATTGTTCATGCAACAATATAAAATATAAAATTGGGATGTGGCATTGACACTGCTATCAAGAAAGTAAATAAATATTATCTAGTTTTTACCTGATCAGCAATTGGAGTACATGTCAACATTGTAGACAGATGTTTCATTTTGAAATTAATTTTGAGAAGATTAAATCCATAGTCAAGTTTCTGAAATTTGAAAGTAGATCATTTTCATGATTTTTAATTGAACACATGGTTATCCGAAAAATATTCAGTCCCAAATCGATGATGCTAAGCTTCCAGTTTCAACTTAAAACGTGAAACATAGAATCAAAACAGAATTTAAAATAACGAAAAGCCATCCCCTATAGTTTATACAATTACAGTTTACTGCAGACCAAAATAGTGAGTAAAGCTCCAAATTTCAACTGGAATACAAACATGGAATCAAAGAAAAATAAGTCCCAATAGTTTATATAATTTTATTTTACCCCACAAAGTTATGTACTCTTGCATACACAAAATATAAATCCTCTTTAACCCAATAAATTTTAATTATCGAATTTAAAATGACAGAATCCTTCTAAAGAAATGTAACATAATCAAACAATACCCCAAGGAAAGTATTGAAAATGCTGCTAAGAGGATACTGGTGACAAACATTCGAGTCTCACACTTGGCAGCACAGGCACCACAAGTAGATGGGAAAGTCATCACCTGTCAAGAAAAATCAGAAATCTGACACCGAGTGAACAAACAAATAAGGGCAAAGCTCAGTACACATAACTATACTTCAGCAATTGTACCTCTTCTGGTGCCGTATATCGAAACAAGGCTTCAGCCATTTCTGCACTGTTACTCTGAGCAATGGCTCGATGCCCAGCTGTCGCCCCTATTGATCCATGTGGTTCTGTCCTTACTTGATCAGTAGGCACACCTTCTCCCCCTTCAAGGGGGTCAACACGAGTTCCTTCAATCTGTGTGGAATCAACAAGGTATCCCAATGATGCTTGCTGCTCAGGAGTTCTCTCATAAAACTTGATCGTCAGTGATGGATCAGATGATGGTGCAAACCTATTCAATGTGTTCTCCATTTACTTAAAATAGTACCAGATAGTGGACTAATATTACCAAGTACCAAATGCCAGCACAAGTTTGCCTAACCAACAAATATATGTTTGTCTTGACCAATTTCAAATAAGTTAAAAGATACAGTATGGTATGATTCAGAAAGGCATGCATCTAATCCAAAGTCACGCACAAGCACAATGTGACTAAATTTGAGCCTATACAGAGGTCAACACAATTTACAAACTAAACCACACTCATCTCTTGAACAAAAAATCCACAAGGCTACTCCCTATATGTTATCACTGAATCCCTTGTGTCATTTACTTGTATGTGAAGAATACCTTTATAATCTCTTCTGATAGGCCTGAAAGGAATAGGTGTACGAGAGAAGAAAGAAGACTAACTAACTGGCTGTTAGCTTTTAACGGCTTACAGCAGTTAAGGAGAGGCGGGAGAGGTAGTTATAAATAGAGGTTTAGTTAATGGGGAAGGGACTTTTGGTGATTGGACTTTTGGTGATTGGATTCTAAAACAGGTATTGACCTGGGGAGAGGGTTAAGCCTCTATCCTTCTTGCTGTACAAACATTCTTTTGTCAATAATACCCTTTTTCCTTCATACCTTGTGTTGTTTTGTGTCAAGAAGCTAGTTCTTGATTAGGTTCCTAGTCCGGAACCTATCAATTGGTCAGACATGCCGGATCTTCAATAGGAAGGGTGACGTACGCACGGGATGGAGGGCAGAGTGTTGGCGTTAGAGGGTCAAATGGAGGCGGTAGAGATTACGTTGGCTGAGATGAAGGCGGATACGGTCTTTTTGCGACATGAGACTGGAGCATTGAGGCAGAACTATGAGGCAATGCGCCAAGACGTCCGAGTGATTCTGAAATTGTT